TTTAGCTCTCCTCTCTCGCTCTCGCACACACACACACACACACACACACACACACACACACACACACACACACACACACACACACAAACACTGTCCCTCTCCAGGAATTAAAATTCCTGCAGGAAAATCCCCCGCCCCCAAAAACCAGTGACTTTTTTTTTTTTTTTGGCCTAAATCTCAAACTCTTTCCTTATTTTTATCAATTTATTTTTTCGCCTTGAGCCGAGAAACCACTCATGCGACACGGACCACCCAGAGCCCCTGAAGCGACCGCGTCCACACACCCATCAGGTATGCGACGGACAACATAAATGTATGGAAGGTAAGGGAAAAGTCTGTGTTTTCTGGCTTCGGTTCTCATTGGTTCTATTTTCATTGGGTTGTGCTTCGTTCAATGGTTGGCGAGCTTCCAGTTGTGTTCTGCAGTGGCCCTTTTCCGCCTCGCTTGTGCTAGTTCCGGCCCAGTGCCCAGGTGAGCTCCAGTTCTTTCTTTTCTCTTGCTCTAGCTCAGGTTCTTAAAATCGGGACCCAAGCGGCCCCCAATGATGTGTTGGGTCAGACTCTAGCAGCAACCACGTCGGGGGGCGGGGCGTGGTTATCGTGACGATCGCGGATGGCGCGGAATGACTCCCTGGATGCACGGAACTGTTGAGAGGTGAACTCCGGCGATGGCGAATGTGCCCAGCTCGGACGCGATCTCCCACTCGAGGCCAGCCTCAAGATCATCTACGATGATTAAGAAAGATAGAAGTGTTTGCTGGTTGCATGTCCACGGCTGTGATGTACTGTTATACTACACATAAGTTGTAAGCTTTTGTTAAATTGTTAATTATTATCATTTTATGTTTGAACATGACAGTATTGTCTTTGATGTTAAAGTTATCTACATTATATTCTCTTTAATAATTTCTTAAACATGTTTATGTTGAGAGCGTCTGATTGGCTGAAGGAAACAGGAAGTGTTTTAAGTCGCCGGAAGAAGGAGTTGTGCTTGCGAACGTGTTTCGGTGCAGGCTTTTTTTTTTCCCCCTTTTAATAAAACTGCATTCAATGGATTCCATCTCTCCTTTTGCGCATTCCAAACCAGCACCAATTTTTGTTGTTGTTTTTTGGGGGGGGTGCATGGTTGGGTTTTAGTTTGGTCCTTACTTCCAATTTTCTCTTAGATTGCTTTTGTTCTGTTTTTTTCTGCGCTTGTGCTCAGTTGGTTTCAGATTTTATATGGCGAAGAACACATTATGTTTGTACTTTGTATGTAGTCCTTTTGTATTGTGAATACAAATTGAAGCAGGCTGGTCAACAACCGTGATTGCCAAACCTGTTCAGAATTGAACCTTGTGTGTGTGTGTGTGTGTGTGTGTGTGGTCAACAATAGGAAAGGTGACACCTCTTGTCTGCTGTCATTCTTGAAGGCGCCAGACGTCTTTTTCGTCGTCTTTTTTCCCCTTTTTTTTCTTTTTCCATGCTTAAATCATCTCGGCCGGCCACACAACAGCAGAGTCACAAAAAAATAAAAAATTAATTGCGTGTATCTATAAATATATATAATTTTTAAAAATCTCTTGTTTTAAAAAAATATCATAAAGAAAGAGATCACACCCAATGATATTATAATTAATAATAAGTTTGGGACATGTATTTTGCCACCTGATTCAGTTTTGTCATGGGAATTTGACATATAACAGCGCTAAATGGAAGTAACTGTTCGTACTATTGAATCCTGACGAGTTGTTTTGCAGATAAGCAAAGTTCCTGCCCATGCACTATTCTGTACTCTGTGTAGCTGCTGAAAATGCTGATTGTGCTGATCTTCACCACCTCCCAACAAGATAAAATGAGAGCACAAGATGCGGAGGGGGAGAAGGTTCCCTTGTCAGATCTGGGAACGATGTCCCTCCATGCTTTTTCTCAAGTAAGTCAAAATTCTGTGTGCGACACAGATTTAATTACAAAAAAGAGAATTGTCATGCTTGTATAAGATATTTGCTTTTAATTTCAAGGAGTTGCGGAGATTTATCTCAGTCAATGCTTTATTAATACATTTATTTGTGTGTGTGTGTGTGTGTGTGTGTGTGTGTGTGTGTGTGTGTGTGTGTGCGTGTGTGTGTGTGCGTGTGTGTGTGCGTGTGTGTCTGTGTATATGTGTGTGTGTGGATCTGTCTGACAAGTGTGTGTCTGTGGGTAAAGTTGTGCATGTGTGTGCTCTGCTCACATTACAATAAAAGCTTGTAATTGATCTTGTAATGAGCTGCCGGGACTTAGAGGAGCAAGGAGTAGGCCGTCCAGGTGATACTGTGACAACAGGATACCATGATACATGGATAACTAAAACAAAAGCGCTGAAATGCGAGCGTCATTACTTGTTCGCTATGTTCCAAATAATCTACTTTGACATGCAGAGGTGTTTTGTCAGATGGGCACAGTTTCAAACACATGCACACAAACAGCTACTGGTTCATGGGTGATGACACGGAGAGAATGATATTGATTTTCGAGTCCCTGTCAAATGAAAATAGAAATGACCTGCTGCCAGATGTCGGAAGCTCAAAACAAGCCCTTGCTCGACTCGTAGCTGGAACACGACTGTGTTCAGTTGTTTGTGTAGTGCGCTGTCGGTGAAATAATGTGCCACTGCGTTTACGTAACAGCTAACTTACCCCGAGGTGTTGTAATTATGTGGCCTACACGTGACAGAAAAGGGAGTGGTTTTTGAGTGATGTCTTTGATGGCAATAACGCCGGTCCAGGGGCGAGCGAGCGAGCTAGCGGACTAGCGAGGCCCTGTTCTGTGTTGTGTGCGTGTATGCCAGTATACCATCATGAGCTCACAGGATAGCAAGGCCCTGTTATGTGCCTTCTGTGGGTCCACATAAAATAATGGGCTCGTGACTATGAAGGCCTGGTTTTGTGTCGTATGTGTGTCCGCATAACATAGCCTGAATGTGGCCGGGTAGTCTGAAATGACAAGACCCAGTACTGGTACATGTATTGTATTGGGGAGGGTCGACTCATGCCAGAAAGCGCAAATGCGTATTGAATTGGTGAAAAAGAGTTTCATGCTGTATTTGAACAATTGAGTCTTCAAATTTTTTCAGTACTAATGTCAAACCTATCCCATATATTTCGAGACAACTCGCTGAAATCACTTGACAGTCTTTAACATGAAACCATCCATTTTTACCACATGATACGAATACATGATACTATATGTGCGGCTTTTAGGGCTTTGTGTTGCTTGCCTTTGTTTAGTTTGGCTTATTTTAGTTGTATTTTGTTGTCCATATTAGAATAAATGTGGGAAGTTAAATTAGCTACGCTTGGTTGATATAGTCTGGCTTATTTTAGTTTGCCAAAGCCTAGCTTGTTTTTTTTTTTTCTGACGAGCGTATCTTATCTACTTGAATTTGTCTTATCTTAGTAGCTTAGCAGTATCTTAAGTAGCCTCGGAGTCACCTAGCTAACTGTAACTTTTTTTTTAATCAGAGTTTCATATCTTAGTAAATTTTAGTTGAATTTAATTTTTGTATTTTGCCTTGGTTGAACATAGCCTTATTCTGTTAAGTTTAGTCAAGACTTGCGTTGTTTAGCTCAGATTTTGCTCATCTTTGAGCATTTGGTTGTCGTGTACACAAGTGTGTGTGTGTGTGTGTGTGTGTGTGTGTGTGTGTGTGTGTTTACTGACATTCGCCTGGACCTCGTTGACCTGCATTGGATTAGCAGCTAATCATAGAACACACACACACACACACACACACACACACACACACACACACACACACACACACACACACACACACACACACACACACACACACACACATACTACCAGGCTGCTTTCTGGGAGCCTAACAGGTCACCACATGTGATTGAACATGTAAACACACACTGCAATGTCGAGGCACCCATGTCATGCACAGGCTTGTCCTCTGTGTGTGTGTGTGTGTGTGTGTGTGTGTGTGTGTGTGTGTGCGTGTTATCCAGCCATTTGGTGACACCAAGCCATGTAATGGCCGCACTACAAGTTGTACATTATTAGCATCTTAGCATTGCATGTCAGCTTGATAAATCTGCAGCGTGCATTAGCATTTTAAGCCGTATACATTTCCCATCACACATTGTACTTAAGCATTCATTATTTGTCCTATATTAGCATCATTATTAGCTTGTTTCCCTAGCGTCCACGTTTTAGCATCTTGTGTTAGCATACATCTATATCGCTACGACTCCTGATGGTCTCTGTCTGCTTCATGTTTATCGCTGGACAGTTTGTCTGCGAATCCCTCCAAATATTCCCCGCCAAACAGTCGTTCTGCATCTGAAAATACCGACGTGGGACTTTTGTATTTTATTTACGTGAGCGTCGAATGAAAACAAATGGTTTCCACACGGAGACTCCAGCAGACGCTGTTTACTTCCTTGACGACATGCTGCTGATTTAGGAATAGGAAAGGTCGCTCGTCCATCCTCAAGTGGGAGTCATCTATCATCAACAACACGGCGTGTATACATACTGTAGTGCGTCGAACAAGTGCACTTCCTGCCACAGGAGCTGCTGCTGACAATAGTTTTCACAAATAACATGTGGCCTCTGCCGGGGAGTCACATCCACCACCATTACAGAATGGGAAAGTACATGTTCAGAGTTTCTTTGCGCTCGCTTTTAATGCTCGCCTAGTTTGGTCTTGTTTTTTTCACTCTAAACAATTAGGGGTGATGACATTTGTTTTATTTTATTTTTGCATTTTGCATCAGCCGTGAAGTGTTGAAATTATTTGGTTGTATTTTTAAATTTATTTTTTTCAGTGTTAGCGTATCTGTGTATAGATCGATCGAGAGATAGATCATTCAATTCAAACAATCCTAATTTTAGTTGTCAACGATTGCTCCTCCTAACAAAAAAGATTAACATAAGAGCATGTGGATGCAGACATTTGTAGTGATGTCATGTGCTGCCAGAGGGTTGGAGCATTTTTGTCAAAGTCCAAACACACATTGACAAGACTGCACCTGAGGCGCACACACACACACACACACACACACACACACACACACACACACACACACACACACACACACACACACACACACACGACCACAGTGTCCAACTTTGAACCCAAGCATGTATCCCTGCCTTCTCCTAGCCTTGGGTGATATATGTTGATATGTACACAGCAACACGGACCACTTCCTGCCAAAGATCATCCAGATCTCAGACACACACACAAACACGCACATGCACGCACTTGTGTAAATCAATGTGTTGACATGTTGTTGTGCGCTGACTGGTGACAAGAGGAAGCCGAGCTGTCTTACAAAGTCCGGACCCCCCATCATTTTTTTCTAAGGCTGGACCACTTTTTGGTACCGGTTGGTCAGAGTGTTGAAAAAGGACATTTAATTATTATTATAATTTTTATTTTTTTTAAAGAAGCGGTCCTCCTTGCAACTTTACCAAACCTCCTGTTATCAGTACACCGAGATTAGTATGCCAAAAAAATGGTCAGCCTCAAAGCGATACTAAACAACCTCTTAGCAATGCATCAATATGGTGCCAAAAAGTGATACAGCTCGCAACATGATCAAATGTCCTCTTATCAAAAGATCACCGTGTGCCAAAAACCCTGCAAATGTATCAAATCTGATCAATATCCCAACAAAAGGGTGCCCAAAAACGGTCCCTCTCGCAACTTTATCAAATTCCCTGTTATCAATAAACCCAGAGAAGGATGCCAAAAAGTGATCCCCCTGCAACATTTCCAAATTTCCTCTGATCAATACACCGATAGGGTGACAAAATGTGGACCACCCACTACTCCCTGTACAAATTTACCAAATCTTATCAACATCCCGACAAAAGGGTGCCAAAAAGTGGTCCTTCTCGCAACTTTACTGTCATGTTTTGCGTGGTCACCGTGGTGGTAGTTGTTGGGAGGACCCCAAAAAGCAGGGAGGAGCAGGATGGTTGACCAAAATGTATTTCACAAAAATGCAAACAGGAATACACTGGAGAAACTAACTCAAAAACTCACTCAAATAAAGTCCAGTAAAATCACAAGAAATCAAAGTAGCAAAAAAACTAAGACAAAAAAAACAAAACATGACTTGACTGATATGTGTACACAGCAACAATGACCCGACACCGAGTGGTCAGGGCAGGTGTTGCAGATTTGCAACAACCACGTATCAGGTTTTACCTGTTACGAGAACTTAATTTCAGCCTGAATTTAATTTAAGCCTCAGAGGGTTTTTAAACAAGCAAACTAATGACACAATGACCAACAGGTGTGCAGCTGCAAGCACAGCCCTACGGTGCCACCTGTTGGTCACAAACAGAACCGTGACATTTACAAAATTCCCTGGTATCGATAAACCCAAATTAGAATGCCAAAAAGTGGTCCACCTTGCAATTTTACTGAACATCCACTTATCACTACTCCGAAAATAGGAAGTCCCCCGCAACTTTACCAAGCCTTGTCAAAACCCCAACAGAAGGTGACAAAAAGTGGTCCCCTTTACACCTTTAGAAAATGTCCTTTAATTAATACCCTGACAGTAGGGTGCCAATAAGTGGTCCCCCTCGCAGCTTCACTTAACTGATAGGCTGACCACTAATCAACTCAACACAGTCCAGAGTGAAGAAAATAGTTTTTGCTTTTTCTTAGGTGATCCACGAGGCCAAATGGACTCCATCATCTCCATCTTTGAAACTGGACCTGACAACCACATTGTCTTGTTTGTGTTTGTGGAGAGCGAAAGGACAAAGAAGAAGAGTGACAGGTCAAGAGTGTTTACATCTGCCCCCACCCCCACCCCGCACCCCCTCCAAGAAAGTGTTTAAGCCTCCATTATCGTAAGGGCTGCAGGGGCAAATTCTGGGCTCCTTTTTCAAAATGAAATTCATGGTTTTATCACACGAATCTGTCCCTTCAGTTGCCATGGTGACAAGGTAGAGAAGGTCACAGAGGAAGTCAAAAAGAAGAAGAGATTCTATTCAGCTAATAGCGACTCTCTTAGCGAGTAATTGTCTCTCATCCAAATAACTGCAGGTGAGTTGTTTCTTACAGAGGCCACGTGGTGGTGGCAGAGCTCTTATTTGAGCTCCTCACTTCACATCAACATTGTTTAAACACTAAACTTAACATTAACCATCGTTTGGACATGGTTTTGGCCTGAGCCAAGTAATGAACGGCAGCGCTTCATTATGACTAAGTGTGCCCGCAGAGGTCGCTGTTTCTCAACTGAAGACCGGAAGAAACAGAAAAAAAAATAAGCTTTATTTTTTTTTAGGCGATATTAAGCTCCAAATCCACATTTATGCATGCTTGTTGGAGAAAATAAAAACATTTAAATGTATGCCTCGCGGATATCACCGCTAAAATGTCGAATTAACGAAAATATGAACCGCATAGTCCATCTGTTTACCTTTTTTTTTTTTTTTGGTGTTGTCATTTTCATTTGAGAAGTTTTTCACATTATTTTAAGACAAATTTCAATATATGTATTTTAATCTACCTTTTATTTGAAAAGAATAATCAGAGCCAAAAGTCACCTCTTCTTTATGACCATGAAATGTTATTACCGTTATTGCTCTGGTTCTGGCGTCCACTTGGGCCTCAAGTTAAAGTGACCGTTCCAATACTGACCCATGGTGATTTCCAACCACTTCTTTGTGGCACATGAGCGAGTCCTGACAGATCATCCCACGTACAGAGGGAAATTTTTCACTTAATTGATCAGAAAATGATTTCATTGACTGTCAAATTTCCAATATAAAATATGGGCCTTGGCTCAGTAAAAGTTCGGAAAGAATGTCAGAAAGGACTATTTTTGGCAAGCTTCTATTACTTATACAAGAATCTATGAATCATATTCGCAGGGATTGGATGGCGGTTTTGGATGTAGATTACAGTACGTATCCCATGTCATCTGACCTGTTTGCCTTGTTTGTTATGACTTTGTATGTTTAGGTTACCTTTCCGAAGACAGGCCTCGTGGGGGTTCGGGGTGGGGAGGGGGCGGGGGGTCAATGAGTCTTAATGGATGTCCTCACTTGGACAGTGGTACTAAGTGTGTGTGTGTGTGTGTGTGTGTGTGTGTGTGTGTGCGTGTGTGTGTGTGTGTGTGTGTGTGTGTGTGTGTGTGTGTGCGCACATGCACACTGGGAGCAGCAGGCTGTAAGTGGGGGGCCATTCATCAAACACTTGAGAACGTCTGACAAGCCAGGAAACGCACCTAAATGTTTATTTTGACGCACGGTAATTTACACCTTCCTTCATTTGTTTCGTCTTACTTCAAAATCATAAACACACCACCAGCCATTTCATTTGGCACTATCTACTGACTTTCGATACATTTGTAATGTTTGCGCCTGTTATTGTATTATGCCATTACTGCATCATGAGGCTGGATGATGATTGGATTTTGGAGATTAATATGAATTTTTAATTCATGATTAGATTTTTCAAAGTGTTAATTAAATTCAAAGCGGGTTGTTGATGATATGCAGTTTATCCTAACAACATGGCTGCAAACAGAAAGAAGATAGTTGGCAAAAGCATCGTCAGTGTTGCCACCTTAGCAATTTTTCTGACTCCCCAAAGCAACAATTTTTCAAGAAAGCATCTTTAATTCCCACTACATAACACTACTATAATTCTCGTAATATTTTACATATGACAACAAAAGAGACTTTATTTAATGGTGATCAAAATTTGGAGCCCAAGTGTGCGCTTCTAAATCACAACTGTTTTGTCGAGGTCACCTTCCTTGACCTTTACAAATCTTCATGAGAAAATAATTTGAAACGTTTCAAAACTTGTTTGGTGCCAAGAGAAACAAAGCAAATCAAAGGAAAGTGGGGTGGATAAAAACAAAGTGAAATTTGTTTTTCATAATTTATTAGCTATTTTTCCATAAACGAAAGGGGAAAAGTCAGTTCAAATTGAAAATCATATTTTTATGAGGAAAAAAAAAATCTGAGATTTTACGGGGAGGTCATATAAGGCAGCCTTACTGAGAGCTGCTTTTTTTGCTTCCCAGGAGAGTAAACATATTCAAAACATCTCTCATTGTGATGCAAGACAGTTTTACAAGCACGATAATAAACAAAGTATTTTTAATTAATTCTCTCTGACAACCTCTGACAATCAAACTGTAATTGCTTTTTGGCATGGTATAAATTGCCAGGAAGTAATTATGTAACACAAAACACTGAATGTATTTGATTTCAGTTCATAGTACTGTCATGAGTGAACAACGTGAAAGTGATTTGATCTTCAGTCTTAGATTATTATAGAGACATCTAGTGGAAAAATGTTGTTACTTCGACCTTGATTTGTGCCACTCTCGCTGAGTGTTAAGGAGAAAAGACACAAACTTAGTAAACCTACCTCTTTTGTATTTGACAGTGAATATGTCGTATTTTGCAATGAAAATCCAACATTTTAATCCAAAATGTATTTTAATTAAAATACACGCAAATCAACGGAGTAGTTCCTGGTTGACTTCCCATTGGGTTTGAAAAAAAAACGTCACGTGTAAGGAGGCGTTTCATTGGCTGGTCCGCAGCACCTCTGTCTGTCCTTATTCGTGAAGGTGAAATCGGTCCCCGATTTATCTCTCTGCCTGCCTCCCTCCGGAACCCTCGCGGTCGTCCTTCTGTCTCACCTCCGCAATCATGTCTGTATTCGGCGACGTCCCGCAGGCGCCTCCAGTGGCTGTCTTCAAGCTCTCCGCCGACTTCCGCGAGGACAACCACCCACAGAAAGTGAACCTCGGCGTCGGAGGTAAGCGGAGCTAACGATGCTAAAAAAACGCTAGCTCGTCCCATTCAGAGAGCCTGGCCGAGTTGCGTTCAAGGGTCACGTGGCAAAACAGCAAAAAGCTTGAAATCGGCGAAAATAGTTGGGATAATCCAATTTTTAGTCAATCATACAGTCACGTAACGAATTCAACGTGTGTGTGTTAAAATTAGCACTTTTTAAACTTAACTCGTGACATCTATTCCGAAACGTTGCTCATCGAGCATCTTTCACTATGTCTTTTCGTGCGGTGGAGGAAAGACCCCAAACGCATCATTTTCCATCCACTCCAAGGTTAGTGTTGTTATCGAATCGAATTCAATAACTACCCCCCACCCCCCAAAAAAAGACATACACATTTCGTGATTGCAATTAATACAATTACAGCAAACGTGTTTATCGTTTTCATCTTCGTCTCTTAAATATCAAACATGGATTTTCATTTTAAAGGTATTTCTTTTGTTATTATTGTACGGCCGTACACAAAAACTCTATCATAAACTAATTAATGAAAACAAATTAAAACAAGATAAAGACTAACTATAATGAAACATCTCAAAGCTTTATAACCCTGATCCACGTGCAAGTTCTCACAAGGGTCCCAGTTCTGCTCAATCCGACCTTCTCTAGCTCATGTATTTTATTCTGCGGCCAAGCTCCTAACTCAATTTACTTCAATAAGATTTCAAATCTTCTGACTGAAATAAAAGATCAGTAAAATATAAGCATGAAAAAAATAAAGAGAAAAGAATGTCAAGTAACAAACTGTTTTTAAAGGGGCCGTGGCATAGTGAGTGACTGACTGGCCGTTAACCTGCAGCGGTAGTTCAGTGTGAGCGTCTTTTCCTCCACGCTCCTTGCAAATGTTTGCATTTTATATAAGTGTGTTTACTTGTACAGTTCTACCCGGCACAAGTGATGATGTCATGACACATAGGTTGGGACTCACTGCTTTAACCAAGCAATTCCAACTTCCAATACTTCTAGCAGGACATTGCAATTGGTCTGTTTTCACAATAATTCAATTTTTAATTCAGCTCTAAGTCTATTTGCTTGGGTTGAAGAGCTAATCAAATTCTAACCAACATCGCAATGTACTGTATTTTCATGATCATACGACGCACCGCATTAAAAGGCGTCGTGTCAGTTACGGGTGCTATTTCTAGATCGAACACATATACAAAGCGGATTGTATTATTGAACGGTGGAATGGGAAAACGTACGCCATCTTAAAAAATATTGCATTCGCCGTTTTTGGGATGTTGTTTTGCACAATGCAGGTTGCGGCACCTGTTATCGAAGTAACACAACAGCTTTCACCGATTTGGGAACTCGGTGCCTACACAGGTCAACCCGCATTATTCATCGCTTCGTCCTTACTGGAGAAAATGTCAGCCTTTAATGTGCATCTCATGATCGTGAACATGCGGGAGTAGAATAGAATTTTCAAATCACAAATTTGCTTTCCGTCATTGCTCTCGTCTGATTTATGCCCGAATGTGTGATATCACGCTCGAATTTTGTGAGGTTGTCGTAGCGAGTGCGAGTCCAAATCTGGAGTGATTTAACTGTAACATGATATCAGCTCCTTTTTATTTTAACCTCATTCTCGTGTTTGTTAACTGCCGGATGGGAAAATGATCCTTGAGAAGAATAATCACAAAGCAATTCATCTTACTTTAATTGTTGTCGGGTGAAACAATGTTTAGCCTTTGCCTTGCAGCCAACTTTTTCATGTGTTTTTTTTTTTTTTTTTAATTAGCTAGCAAGAATGACGGTTATGCATGCCCAGGCTCGTACAGTAGCCTCTGGCTGCCAAAAAGCACTCCCCATGCCTATGTTCAACAGCGAGTGCTTTTGGCGAGCAGCTGCTTTCTTTGCTTTGCTCTTTTCCCAATCCAGTGTGCTGTCACACGATACAGACTCATGAACACACGCCACAAGTTCCTCGGAGGTCAAGGACGCTCAGTTTAGTTCCCAGCAACCTCGGCACATCCACTCTTTCACGCACTCATTTGCTGTCTGACGGTGGGGACACGAGGTCTTCCTGCCACAATGTTTTGGACGGCACGGCATGTCGGCAAAAAAAAAAAAATACACTCTATGCTTCAATTTGCTGACGTTCCCTATTAATTCCGATGTCAAGTTTCAAATTAGGACTCCTTCCAAAAGTCCCTCTTTTAAATTTCCGTGGGCATTAAAAATAAACTGCAACCCATTTCCCGCCCCTCGCCAATCCTAGTCGGACCTCGAACAAACACAAAGCGTTGCGGGTCGGCATCCGTTTTGTCACGTGACAGGAAGTGAAGCTGTTTTGGTGCGGTCTCCCTCAGCCTACCGCACCGATGACTCTCAGCCGTGGGTTCTGCCGGTGGTGAAGAAGGTGGAGCGCCTCATCGTGGAGGACACGAGCCTCAACCACGAGTACCTGCCCATCCTCGGGCTGCCAGAATTCCGATCGGCCGCTTCCAAGGTTGCCCTGGGAGAAGACAGCCCTGCCGTCAAGGAGGGCAGGGTGAGTCTGCACGGCTAACTGTTAGCACGTTATCCCTGACTAAACGCTGCGAGGCAACATTCTTCGTGCTTTCTCAACCCACATTGCCTTTTGGTCTATGTTAGCGTCGCAGCAGTTAGCATCTTAGCTTTTAACCATTCTCATTTGAAATGGGATCCGACGTTGCCTTTGCACTTTTTCAACCACGGTTGCTATCTTGCCACCTAGATACGATCGCATCTACTGTTACTGAATTTGCATTTTAGCAGTTTTCAATTGCAGTAGCGCCCGCCCGCAGGGCAAGATAGAAAATCCTTATTTGTCTGTTGCTGTACTTGGGTTGGTATCTCGCTAATTTAGCGAACCAACCTTTCGTGTTTTTCTTGTCTCATTAGAAATTGTCTCGTAGTACACATAATATGGCGGCAAATTTTTGTCAATCTGCCTTTTTCTGTTTTTGAGTTTGCTTTGTTGACATCTCACCTTTTAGCGTGTTAGCCTTCAACCAACTTAGGAGGCTTTAGCATGCTTGCCCCTGTTGATTGAAGCACAAGGTGTCCCCTAATGGACACATCATTTGTTTGCATGCTATCTGTTAGCATGCTGGCTTCTAGTGTTGTTCATACTTTGATTTTACAATTGGAATGCCAGTATACATGTATTAATCCTTTTGTACGTTATAGTCACCACTGGTGGGGTTTTTTTTTGTTTCCGTCTCAGGTCGGTGGAGTCCAATCTCTGGGTGGCACGGGCGCCCTGAGGATCGGGGCTGAGTTCTTGCGGCGTTGGCACAATGGCGTCAACAACACAGCCACTCCTGTTTACGTGTCTGCGCCGACCTGGGGTGTGCGGATGCTGACACATACACACGCGCTGTAAACATGTATGACATATGACTTTAAATATATATTGTGTTTTTTGTTTTTTATCTCAGCGAACCACAACGGTGTGTTTGCCGACGCTGGGTTCAAGGACATCCGTCCGTACCGCTACTGGAATGGCGCCAAGAGAGGTCTGGACCTCAGAGGCTTGCTGGATGACCTTGAGGTGACCTTGTTTTTAAAACGGCACATTCTCAGCCAGCGGTAATTTTCGCAATTCGCAGGCGTGTTAATGTGGTGCTAACATCCTCTTGCCGCACCCTGCTTCAGGAGCTTCTATGTCATGCAAATTCTGATTTAGGCTTTAATTACCGTGACGACCAGGGTGAGGCTAGGGTGTGGTACTCAATGTAGCCTTTGTGACATTTCTGAACCTTCAAACCACCTTTTGAGACTCCCTCCAGAACGGAAGATGATTTAAGGATATGTCGCCCATAAAAATCTGATGGTATTTTCCCTATTGGAGGGAGGCAGCATTGCAGCAGAATTTGACATATTCATATGTCCCCAAAAAAAAACAAAAGCCATGGCAGCTTATTGGAACACTCTCAGTTGTCTCCGGGTGTGACTGTGATTGCCGATGCTTGTTTGTCTTTGTGTGTCCTGCAATTGGGCGATAGCCGGCCCGCAGATGGAGGGGACCATCTCAATGGTCAGGCTTTTCTAAACTGTTTGAGGAGTTTCCATCTTAATTGTTTAGCCGCAACGCTTGTCAGCGTTCCACTTGATGTTATCGTGTGTATCAAGAGAAACCTCCGTTAAGGCTCCGTGTTGATTGTGTGTTTGAACAGCAAGCTCCAGAAGGTTCCATTTTCGTGCTCCACGCGTGCGCTCACAACCCCACCGGCACCGATCCCAATCAGGGCCAATGGAGGCAGATCGCTGAGATCATGAAGGTCTCCTTCTCTTTTATGAGCATTAAAAAGCCACTTGACTGTTTCCCTCTTGCCTGATGTTCTCCTCTGTTGTTTTCTTGCTCTCCAGAACAGGAATCTTTTTGTCTTTTTTGACTCGGCCTACCAAGGCTTCGCCTCGGGTTCTCTGGAAAAAGACGCGTGGGCCATTCGCTTCTTTGTGTCTCAGGGCTTTGAACTCTTTGTGGCTCAGTCCTTCTCCAAGAACTTTGGCCTCTACAGTGAGTACACGCCGAGGTGTTCATTCCAAATTTATTTTCTAAATTTATTTTGGTATTGCTGTACGTCAGTTCGGAAGATGGAAGGTCAAACAGTCGTTTGAGAATTGGACTTGATTGCAAACGAATAAATAAAAGTAATAACAACGATCTCAAATGAAGGAAAACTTTTAACGAACCTGCTCTTCCAGATTTACATATATCGAGGAAGCTCGTTGCTATCTTTAAATGATATTCCAACAGTAAATCAAAAATGACCCAGGCAATTATGTTGCGAAGTGAACAATAAGTTTTACACATGCACGTTTAAAGTCCTAAAATTGGCAACTTGGGTTTGAATCGAGTCAAGTGACGTGACCGGAGTCCATCGGCTCTGGTCCACGCGAAGAACAACTCCCGCGCACTCAACCGACTCCCTTACCTCTCCTCAGACGAGAGGGTGGGCAACCTGACGGTGGTGGCGCGAGACGGCGACAACCTGGGCCGCATCCTGTCTCAGATGGAGAAGATTGTGAGGACCACCTGGTCCAACCCGCCCTCGCAGGGCGCTCGCATCGTCAGCAAGACCCTCAACTGCCCCCAGCTCTTTGCGGAATGGTGCGTTGCCATTGTTTATAATTGGCCCCCCAAGAAAATAGAAAGGCCTTCACGAGCCTCCATGTGGTCACCCTTACTTGTTGACTCCTACCGTCTTTTACCAACACCTACAGGACGGTTGAGGAACTACAGCACGTTCTTATGTGGCACATACTCGTTTCCGCCCCCATTAATGTGTTGCTTTTCTGTGCAGGCAAGATAACGTGAAGACGATGGCCGACCGTGTGCTCCTCATGCGGGACCAGCTCAAGTTGAAGCTTCTGTCCCTCGGAACCCCGGGAACATGGGACCACATCACCCAGCAGATCGGAATGTTCAGCTTCACCGGCCTCAACCGTACGTGCACACGTGCACGGATGCCGCGTTACTGCAACATGCACTAAAACGCCGTCAGGGGATTTTTAGAGGATTAAAAAAAAAAAAAAAAACAGCTAACTATGGGTGAAGAATTGAACTAATTAGTCGACTAGTCCGTGAGTTGACTCTACTTTTCCGCAACGAGGTTTAATAAGAAATGTCTGGCACATGAGTCGAAATAGGCTTACGCTGTACGCAGTATATCAGAAATATCAGAATAGTGGTTAGCCTTGTTAGCTTTGGCTATTCCAACTGCTGCTAATCTCAGAAAATGTCGAACGGCGCTGCCTCGACACTGGCTGCAAAGGGGCGAGGGCACCGGCGCAAAATAACGCCTTATCTTTGTCGTCCAAATGTCACTTCTAATAATGCACATATGACAACATATCCCCCCCTTTTTTTTGGGGCGGTGTTTGACCAACTTGAATAGCTGTGCCTTTCCAACTCAAATGTTCTCACAAACCTGATCACACATTGTGGCATAGGACCTTATTTGGAGCCTGCCTCTCATGTCAGACAGGATGCCACCACGGTCATAAAGTAAGCCAAGTATCTCTCGGTGTCTAATCTTTCCCTCTCTGACTTGTTTCGGCGCCGCAGCCAATCAGGTGGCGTACATGATCAAAGAGAAGCACGTGTACCTGATGGCGAACGGTCGCATCAACATGTGCGGCCTCACCTCCAAGAACCTGGACTACGTGGCGCAGTCCATCCACGACGCCGTCACCCAGGTCCAGTGAGAGGGAACGCCATCGCCGCTTCTCCCTGTACGTTTTGTCCCATCCCGCTCTCCCTTGTCACATCTTTGATGTCACCGAAAGTGTGAGCTGTACATCCTCACTCCTTCTGCTAAGCCGGTGGCTCCCAACATGTACTGAGCCAAAGACCATGTTTTACATTCGAAAAATGTTCTGGCACGTCACCAAACAAAAACTTCATCAAAAGCAATAGCCCTGATGCGAATTGCAAAATAACCAGAGGAACTATCACCTCCTACCCCCCCCGCAATATTTTGGTTGTATTTCTAAAAAGTATTATTTAATTCATTGCATCTTGTCAGTCACTGCCGCACAATGGACAGTTTGAGCATTAGCGCTTGATTATCGGAAAATATGAAATAATGATTCAACTTAAAATGTATTCTGCACATAAGTTAAATATATATATATATATATATATATATATATATATATATACACACACATATATATATATATATATAATTTTTAAAAGCAAACAATTTAATGGTATAGTAAATGCAAACGTTCTGAATTTAGACGGTAGATACAACTGAACTGTACTCAATGAGTGATTTATCCTGGATACCACTAGAGGGAGCCCAGTTATCATAGTTGAAGCTGTAAATAGTCCCCAAACTATGATCCTCAAACACTTGATCATCTCACAACCTTACACTCAAAAGTAATCATGAAGGGTTCTGTTTTCATGACAGATTACATTTAAAAATAAATGATTTTCAGATTTTTAGATTTTTTTTTTTTTTTTTTAATGCAGCGCGAGGATGCCGGCGCAAACAAAGAGTGCTGTTCTTTCAACGTACTTCCCTGTTGACTTATTACTTTCCTGTTAGCTTGGCTTTGGTGACATTAAGTAGTTTTGTGGGGGGGGGATAGCCCAAAAAATATGCAGCCAATTGTGAAGGGGGGAAAAAAAAAGTGAAGAGGGAACTGTGAAATCCAGGGTGCTTTCGATGGACCCCTGTAGGACTCCTGGTCTTGTCAAATTTACTGATAGAAATCAAGCTATTATTCTGTTGAATGAATACAAACGTGAATTGTAGCTTGTAGTGAAAGAACATTTGAGTCTTCTCCCTGTCACAAAAATATGTCACTGGCATGGACGGAAGAACAAAGACACATTATTTGTAATTGAGTACATTTTGCTGTTGGGAATCACCGCGCTAAGCTATGCTATGCTAAGATGCATTAACCGTGTGCTGCTGTCAACTGTGGACAGGATGTCATCGTAGGTCATTTACTGTCACGGGTCAGGTAGCTTTGTGTGGTCTTGTAAAGTCACTCCTGCTTTAAACACACTTCAAAGTACACTGTAATAATATATTCATACAAAGACAAATATACGTAAGAACGCTCTTCTCCTGCTGTGTTCACCTCCAATGAAACGGGTCATTATTTTATTGTCGGCAAATGTGTGCAATTGATTTTGTCAGCTCGGAGCCTTCTTAAAGGTACAGTACGCGCCACACGTTTGCGGTCTACAGTACTCTGCATTCGATGTTGCCTTTGAAAAGTGCTTGAAGTGTTTGTCCTTTTACCACAAAATCTAAACTAATATATACTGTCAGTTGCGTGCTACATGGAGAAAGCAAATAAATTACTCGACTTAAAAAATTGAATTGTTTTTCTTCAGTGTGCAGTTATCATAGTGTGCTGTGTAGATGGATTTATGTGTACAAGTAGCTAGTGTTCTTTCAAGGACCGTGCCCATTGCTGGTTCGAGGCACTTTGTCTTAGCATTTTTGATTTGCCCATGATGATGTCATCATGAGCGGGAAGGGGAGGCTTCGGTACATCCGTTTGTCTTGTTAGAGCCTCCGCTTTGGTCAGGTAAAATGCCTGCCTGCAATATCAATAATTAAAATGTTTCTTATGTTCAGATACAAAATTAGCTGCCACATGCCTGCAATATCAATAATTAAAATGTTTCTCATGTTCAGATACAAAAATGAGCTGCCACATGCACACAAGTGTGTGATTGGGTCACCATGTATAAGGTGAGTGATAAGTCTGAAAATAATTTGTATGCTATGTCATGAGATGGTAAACGTACTGAAGGGATCATTGTATGCGTGCAAATACATTCATTGAAAAAATAATGGAAATTCAAAATATTGCAACTATTCAGAATGAATTTAAAATAAAAATATATAATGAACATATAATTGTTTTGCTAAGGCGACCTATTGAAAAATAATTCATTTCATTTATTCATCCATCCGCATACACTTTGAGCATAAAATGCTCTTGGTATCAAAATATGGTTTAATGAAGTCAAGTGTGATATAAGCAAGCAGCATTTCCAAGCAAGAGCCCTTTCACAGTATAAATTGACTTCCGGCGGCGTGGTGACATCTTTCGTACGACGTCATCACAAGGACATGTGCCCTTTTTATACAGCATAGCCCAAATATTAGGTCATTTGATTTCTTCTCGTATGCCAGAATCCGCCTTGTTGTTGCAGCAGCGCCCCTGGAGGAGGCGACTTCAATAAACCCCAAACGTCTTGATCGTTTCCGTCAACATCGGCTGGTAGGTCGTGCGTTCGTCTTGGTTGCTAAGCTAGTTTATTCAGAATTGTCTTCTTGTTCAGTTTTATCGTGTTTTATGGTCGAAATTACTGCCGACTCATCCGCTTTATCATCTCGTGAGATTTGGTTCTTCTTGTGGCCTGAAGACACACACAAAAGGGGCGAAAACAATCATTATCCTTAAAAAAAGTGACACCTTGATAAAGTGGCTGGATTAAAGTTAGGAATCAAAATAGTACATATATTAGATTCTTAAATGTAATGAAATAACTTGGTGAGTCATAGTGTGTGCGTGTAGAGAACTGTTTTTCTGCCTATATGAGTAGTTAGTATGCATGCATGTGTCTGTGCGAGTGGCTCGGGTGGATTTGTGTTTGCATGTGAATGAAAAATTGAAGAAAGACATTTGAAAAGGCCAATGAATAGGGTGTGTGTGTGTGTGTGTGTGTGTGTGTGTGTGTGTGTGTGTGTGTGTGCGCGCGCGTGCGTGCGTGCACACTGAGTTTAAGTCGGATTGCGAGTCAGTGTTGACTTGTTTGTTGGCACGGTTTTGCTGTGCTGTCCATGCCATTAACAGGAATTGCTCATGATGCGAATGTTTCCATAGTTACCGGCATCTCGGGTGTACGGGATCTCGTCCATCCGCAGGAAAACAGAATCGCTTGGACTCTTCTGGCCGTCAGACTTACTTCCTGCAAAATTTTTAACACAACACAAAGTGTTCTGAACATTTATATTCTTTACTTCAAGCAATATTTTTGGAAGAGCAAAAAGCCACAAATATTTGATGGACCTAAAAGGAGTTTGTCATTACATATAGATGCCACTAGATGGCCCTTAAAAGTCACATGACATGAGGCATGCTCAACTTCCTGCATTCCAACTCACTGACGATGCGGTTTCTGCGGTTGAGCACGGTGGTGCTGTGGGCCACGCCGGACTTCTGCTGTTGTCCTCCATTCCAGGCGGGAGGTTGTCGACCCAGGTCCCAGGGTGGCGGCATCAACGTGGCGCCCGCTGTGGGGGCACCGGGTGTCCAGTTCGCCGGCGGCGAAGGCTCTGCCATCTGGGTGTCAGGGTCGGGCGTCTGCGGTGACGTGTCCATCCTGGAGGCGCCGAGCGCGTTGTGGTAGTGGCTCCTGGTGATCTGTGGTGAGGAGGATTGTGGGTAATCTGGAGTACGAGGTGCTGTGAGGCGGCGGCATGCTATCGGTCACCTTGAGGATCTGCAGCGGCGTGAGCTGTCTTACAGAATAATCGGGCATGTAGACGTTGGGCCCCCCATTGAGCTGAGCTGGAGTCCAGCCCTCTGACTCGGAGCGACATGGCGACATCGGGGCTGAAAAAGAATTTATGTCTTTTTGGTCTTGAATATTTGGTGTCTCTCAAACTAAAAAATGACCACATTCAATCTTTTTGTGTATGTTCACCTGCTGGCATGATGGCAGGAACTCCAAAATATGAAAAGGCTCCATTTTCAAATTTGAGACATTCCTTGCCAAACTCCACCTCCACTCGACCCTGAAGGACCGGAAAACAACATGAAATGGACATTCTCACACACACACACAAAAAACAAAACGATTTCACAATGAAAGCATCAACGACTGGAAGAACCAGAACTAGCAGATGTGATGCAGGATTTCAAAATAAAAGAATTAAAGTCCCAAAGAACCACAACAAGGAGGCAACATCCAGGATCACACAATAAAAGCACGACAAGTACCACAATCAGGAAACATGTGAGATAAGATTTCAGAATAAAAGCACCAAGACCAGAAGAACCTCAAACAAGAAACAACCTAAAAATAAAACCATCACAGACTAAAAGAATCTGAATACGGACCCCCTGGATTTGAAAGAACCACAACCAGTTGCGGAAAGATTTGATAATAAAAGCAGGCCGAAACAGGGAAACCCATGATGCAAATTCAAAATAGAATAGAATTTCAGGCATTTAAGACCTCAAGAACCAAACCACGAGCTGATGGATTTCAGAATAAAAATGATGATGGCGATGTTGTACCTGCAGCACGAGGATGAAGTAGTCAGCTGGCTTGTTTCTCTGGAACAGGAAGTGCGTGGGCGCATGCTTATTTCTGTCGTCAAACTTAAGGTCCTGGACTACGCTGGGATGCTTGATGAGCCTCAGCAGGATCTTCTCAGAGATGTAAAGCGGCTTGAAAGGATCCACCTCTGATTGACACAAAACATTCGGGGACTGAGATATTAGCTTAGCATTTAGCTTAGCCTTAGCTGTCTGAATCCAACTAACGGGAGGGCATGTGGAAATCATTTTGAAAATTGTAATGCTAGTTAGGATTTGCCTTACACCAGCCATTCTCTTAGCCTTTAACGTTGCCTTTAGTTTAGCCTTTTGATTTTCACCAATCTTGAGATTGTATTCAGAAAAATGTGTTGGAATGACACTGATGCTCGTTCACTTGGAGTTTAGCCCTTGGATTAGCCTTTGTCTTTAGTGGCGCGCACGGAGAAAACTGTTTGAAGGATGCTAATGGAAGCTGCACATGGTTTAACCTAGCTTGGTCTTGCCTTCATCTTAGTATTCAGCTCGATCATAGCATAGCCTCAGTCGTTTGCATCTGGCTTCAAGGAGTGTACAGTATGTAGACAAGGTTTTGTTGGAATTGTAGCTATAGTGTAGCCTAGCTTAGCACCTGGCTGACATCCATGATAAATGTGTGATTGGTGGATATGTTCTGACAGGAGAAGCAAAGCTGCGCTGTGATTGGCCAATACCTGTGGACAGGAAGCGATGCGTGGCCAGCAGGAGCTGCGGGGAAATTTTGACCTTCATCTCGTGCTCTGCCATTTTGAAGATGGAGAAGTCTTGCTGCTTCCTCTCGTGGTGAGACACGCGACGCTTGCTGCGGTTGTCGGCTGTTGTCGCAGCGAGTAGAGCGCGACAATTGGAAAGATTTTAAATTTTCAAATTGCTGTGGGCTTTCTAATGAGTACAGTATTATGCAGATGCTAACATGCTAACTGTTGGTATGCTAACAACCATCAAACAGTCAAAGACGTAGCCTGAGACTGGAAGACGCATGCCCTGAATGAGATGAACAACAGCAAGTCGGAATGGCTTAAGTCATTTGAGACGTGGAATGATTATGTTAATATGTCAAGTAAAGAAAAAGAAAATCCAAATGTGGATCGTAGCAAATGCACATTCGTTGGAAATGAATGTGTCATATTAATAATAAAAACCACATTTTGCTCTTATCACAATAATGCTGCTGCTGCTGCTGATGATGTTGATGACGTCCTGGTCCTACTGTAGAGGTCGGTCTCGTCCAGAATTTCGGACTTGATGATCTCCTCGATGACGTCCTCCAGCGTGACGATGCCCATCACTTCGTAAAACGGGTCCCCTTCACCCTCGTTGTTCACGCGCTGAACGATGGCCAGGTGAGATTTGCCTGCCGAAAAAGAAGATGCTCCCGCCGCTCATTTTGCTGGGCAACAACAAGCAAGGCACTCTCAGTTTGGTTAGATGACAAAAAAAAAAAAATAATAATAATAATTGCAACAAAAAGCACACGTGCAGTCCATTTTTTACTATAAAGAGCAAAGCGCCCACCATCCACACTTGACGACAAAAAGCAAAGCATGTGGTCTCAATGTTTTTGTTTTTTTTTTTTGGACAACAAAAAGCTGCCGTTTTCTTCCTTTCTTTCTTTTTTTGTCTTTTGTCCTCCTGCCTTCCTTTTCTTCCCTCTTTCCCTTCTTTCTTTTGTCTCTCTCTTCCCTTCATTCCTTCATCCCTTCTATTTCATTTTCTTTGTCTTCTTCCTTCCTTCCTTCTTTTCTTCGTTCTGTGTAAGTGAGAGAGGATGTGTTTGAATGGAAAACTCAATCATGCAAAACTAATTCTCCTCTTTTGTCAGTCAATGGAGTGCGTGTGTGTGCATGCCGTGTACGCACATGCGTTTGTTTTCTTTGTCACAAAGAAGACAAACGCATGCGCGTACACCCCCAAAAAGCGTGAAGAGGACTCTGTCAGGTAAGTTGGTAGGTTTGTGTGTGTGTGTGTGTGTGAGTGTGTATACACACACACACACACGAGTTCCTCATTCCAACACACACACACACACACACACACACACACACACACACAGAGCAACAGTGAATCCTTTCAGTGCGACTCACTGGATTCTGTTCAAATTTCTCATTGAGTGCCACGCGCACGCGCATGCTTGCATTCATCTAATTGGGTCAGTGCAAAGCAACGGGAGGGAAAAAGCTTTGACGTAAGTCATCATGAGCCGAAGGCCAAACCAAAAAGGCTTTCGCGCTCTTACTCGAGGTGCCCTCATCGGCAACATCAAAAAATAAACGCTGACAAAGAAGAAATGCGGGAGCCGCAGCAAGGCCTCTGGTTGGTCGTCTCTTGACTGCCTCCGCAACTTCCCCGCCCATTTATGACTCCCCGTTGACTACAGCGCCCTGCGAAAGGTTGTTGCCGTCTTCTTTTTCCTACTTCACTACGACACAGCGAAGACCAATCCTATTCCTGTTTTGCAACCTGAATTTGAAACCCTACCCTTCTCTCAACCCCTAATTTGAAACCATAACCCGAATTTGAAAATGTAATCCTGGTTTTCAATCCCAATTTCAATCCCTAACCCTTGTTAGGAGCCCTAATTTGAAACCCCGACCCTTTCTCAAAACCCTAATTTGAAGACCTAACCGAGGAATCAAACCTTAACTAAGGTTTGAAACCCTAATTTTTAAAACCCTACATGTCTTGAACCCCTCATCCTGGATTCAAACCCCAACTGGAAACCTTAATGCTGCCTTGAAACCCCAATTTGAAACCTTGAGCAAGGCCTCGAGCCTTAATTTGAAAACCTCACCCTGGTTTGAGGCCCCAACTGGAGACCTTAACCCAGGCCTCAAACCGTGACCCGAATTTGAAGAACTCAACCCCCAACTTCAAACCCCGATGCCCGGCATCCCAATTCAAAACCATCGCCCTGGTTCGACCCCCGACTCATTTGCGACCCGCCGCTTCGCCCGCTTTTCGCTCCCCTGCGGCGCCGTACCTTTCTTGAAGTCCTCCAGCATGGCGTCCAACGTGGTGTCGCTGAAGACGCAGTGCAGCGGTCGTCGGTAGAAGCCCGTGACGGTCTGCAGCGGCGTGCAGTCGTCGGGGTCGACGAAGGCCAGGTCCTTGACGAAGAGCACGTCCACGATGTCGGCGCGGGTCTCGCGGTAGACGGGGATCCGCGTGTAGCCGCTCTGCAGGATCTCCGTCATGGTGTTGAAGTCCAGCAGGGCCTCGGCCGCCAGCATGAAGCAGTCGCCCAGCGGCGTCAGCACGTCCTCCACCGTCTTGCTGCGAAGCTCCAGCGCCCCCTGGATGATGTTCAGCTCCTCCTTCGCCGAGGTCAACGACAGCAAGGCACTTTTTATTTGGCTTTATCAGCAGTCGTTCCTTTGCACCCGCCGTCTTTGCTCGCTTGTTTTTTGCTGTCCCCGGCATGCGGCGCTGCCTTGAGATGTTTTGAGACACGAGCTGTCCATCGGCAAGAGTTTTGCGCTGCTTCCACTCGAGAACAAGTGGTCGTTTCGGCGATGCGGTTCGACAATCGAGATGATCGTATCAGGTTGGGGCGTTTCATTCGGGTTAGGGTTGAAAGTCAGGCCTTTCCACAGGGGTCAGGGTTTCAATTCAGAGTTTCAAGCCAGAGGGTTGGGGTTTGAAGCCAGGTTCCAAATTCGGGTTTGTAGCCAGAATGACAGTTTTGAATGACAGGTTTGGGATTTCAAATTAGAGTTTGAAGCCAAGGTTAGGGTTTCAAAGTTGGGTTGGAAGCTGTAATTATGTGAACAAATGTAAAGCGTCGCTTAAGGTTTCAAATAAGGCTTTGAGGCCTGGGTTAGGGTTTCAAACTGCGGTTTCCAGACAGGGGTAGGGTTTCAAGTGAGGGTTTCAAACCGGCTTCAAATTTTGAAGTTTGAAGGATTACGAGGATTTAAAGCCATGGATAGGGTTTCAAATGTTGAGGTTTGACGATGTGGCCGGGTTTTCAAATTTGGGTTTCAGGACTGGGTTCCAAATTAGCGTTTTTAAACCAGGGTTAGGGCTTCAAATTTTGAGGTTTGAAGATGGGGTGAGAGGGTTTCAAGTTGGGCTTCCCCAGCAGGTTTTGGGCTTGGAATTAGGGGTTAGGGTCGAACAAGTCGATGCTCGTAAGGCGGCGGCGGCGGCGGGCTCACCTTGAGCAGGTCGTGGTAGGGGTCGGTGACGCGCAGCATCTCCAGCAGCTTCTCCCTGGTGTAGAAGTTGGAGATCTCCTGGTGCAGGATGAGATCCAGCAGCTTGCTGAGCGGGTAGGACACGGGGAAGGAGAGCAGCATGAGCAGGCGCGTCAGCCAGATGCTGCGCGCCGCCATGGCCAGGCCGTGGCGCGAGGCCGCCGAGTGCGGCAGGATCTCGCCCACCAGGAAGATGCCCAGCGCGCAGGCGGCCGTCGACAGCCACGTCATGCCCAGGATGCGGCACGTCCACACGGCCAGCGAGGCGTTGATCAGCGCCGTGCCCAGCAGCAGCGTGCACAGCACGTAGTTGCCTGGGGGAACAGCTCCCAGCTCAGTGGACTCCTCGCCGCCTCGCCCATTCGCCGCGCCGGTACGACGACCGAGCCGTGGAAGCCCCGCCCCCCGCCACTCGCGGCGCGCCCTCTACCGTATCGCCTATCGACGAAAATTGAGCGTCGGCACGAGTGCGACGAGCCTCACCCGAAACGAAGCTTGCTCGGAACCCTCACCCTGCGCGCGACTCCCGGTTCAAGCTCAAATTTTTCACTTAAAAGCCGCGCCAAGGTTTGAAACCCGACCCAAGCCGTTCAACCCTAATTTGAAACCCCGCCCAAGATTTCAAACCCTAATTTCAAAACCGACCTAAGACTACCAACCCTACTTTCAAAACGTACCCACGCCTTGCCACGAGGCTTGAAACCCGCATTTCAAACCCCGACTAAGCCCTCCAAACTTAATTTGAAACGGTAACCCTACTTTGAAACCATACCACTGACTTCAACTCTTAAATTGAAGCCCACCTAAGGCTTCAAACCCTGACTTGAAACCCCACCCAAGTCTCGAAACCCTCATTGAAAACCCTGCCTCAGACTTCAAACCCGAATTTGAAACCCCATTCCAGGCTTCAAATACGAATCCGAAACCCTACCCAAAGACTTCAAACGCAGTTATGAAACCCTACCCGAGTCTTGAAAACCTCATTTGAAACCTTCGAACTCTTACTCCTGCTTTCAAACGCTAATTTGGAACCTTAAACCCCGTACTTACCGTGGCGGCGCACTGACTCGATCTTGCGGGCGTAGCGCTGCTCCCGGTCAGTGCCGCTGTTCTGCAGAACTTGCAGCTCCACGGGGTCCAGGGCAAGGAGGCTCAGGTTGAGGCCGCTGAAGAGCGCCGACAACGCCAGCAGAAGCACCGACACCAGGATCTGGATCCACAGCTCGGGCGCCTCCCCCGCACGCTCGGCAACCGCCACCCAGAAGTCCCGAGTGCGGTAGTGCTCCCACTTGGACCCATCGAAGGCGCACATCTGTGGACATTCATTCCGCATCAGTGATGTCCGGCACAGGTACACAGTTTGTCCTCCCTAAGACGATACTAGCGTGCTCCTTTTGACCTACTATTATGCAATTAAATAGGGATGGGCGAGTATTGATAACAGGTATCGGGCTAATATTGGCCTTATTTCAAGGTTTTGGGTACTCGTGAAGGATAGTCGATACCAGCCACAGATACTTAAAAAGGGGAAGAAAAAAAAAACATTCTGACATGGATTCCTCCTTGCCAGTAGTTGGCACTACTACTCACAAAGATGGGAAGGTCGTTCGTTGTTCACAATTATCTGTCGTCTTCAATTAAATTTTATGTAGTGAAGGTACTAATGGTAACCTTACTCGTAACCCACTGTGGTGCACTAGTAACACAACAAGGCCCGACTAGTCAACTTGTGTGATGCATTCGTAGCCTCCTTGACTCAACCTGTTGCACTGAAATGCTCACGAGTAGTTCTGCCTCTCTAGTACCTTGCAGTTGTCCTACTAGTATGCCAAAGTAGTCCTTCTAATACAGTACAGAGGTGCCCAACCAGTCGACTGCGAGGTGTTTAGGGAAAAAAAAACGATTTTTATTTATTTATTGATTGATTTATTTTTATGTCATGACAGGAAGTCAGCACTGCCAATCTTCTAATACAGTACAGAGGTGCCCAACCAGTCGACCGCGAGGTGTTTAGGAAAAAAAACGATTTTTATTTATTTATTGATTTATTTATTTTTATGTCATGACAGGAAGTCAGCGCTGCCCATTTAGCGACGTTGACGCTATATTTGGTGAGTATTCAGACCCTCTCGAGCGACTTTTTTTAAAGTGACGGTACTAATGGTAACCTTACTCGTAACCCACTGTGCTGCACTAGTAGCACAACAAGGCCCGACTAGTCAACTTGTGTTACGCATTCGTAGCCTCCTTGACTCAACCTGTTGCACTGAAATGCTCACGAGTAGTTCTGCCTCTCTAGTACCTTGCAGTTGTCCTACTAGTATGCCAAAGTAGTCCTTCTAATACAGTACAGAGGTGCCCAACCAGTCGACTGCGAGGTGTTTAGGGAAAAAAAAACGATTTTTATTTATTTATTGATTGATTTATTTTTATGTCATGACAGGAAGTCAGCACTGCCAATTTAGCGACTTTGACGCTATATTTGGTGAGTATTCAGACCCTCTCCAGCGACTCTTTTTTTTTTTCCCAAAAAAGTGACTTGTGACAATCTAGCCACTTTTTCTGGTGCTATTGGAGACTTTTAGAGTCTGTGTGGCGAAAGCACGTTTTTCTCAATGAGCCGCGCCGGGTGCTGTTGTGGCCGGGTCACAGATATCAAGTCAATGGAGTGAGCAGTCAATTGATGTCCTTGACAAGGAGGCTACTAGTGCGTGACCCTTGTCTATTGGTTGGTTCTAACAGCGTTCCTAATGCGGCTTGATTTGATAATTTATCAGTAAGGTTTAAGTTTCGATACCGGTAAGCCAAAATTGGCACTAGTAGTTGAAAAAAACAATGTGGGCCAACGAATGCACAGTTTTGTCTCACGATTCGTTTTGAGGACAGATCATTCTAGTATACGGGTATGGAATGATTTATGGGAAGCTGTTTGAGTATTTATTCCACATCCGTGAAAAGGAGGCGACTTGCGTGTGCCACGTACCGAACAGTTGTGTTTAGTAAGGTTACTAGTGCAGCACAGTGGCAATAGTAGCGCTTGTGGATTTAAAAAAAAAAAAAGTTTACTAGTATGACGCAGTTGTCCACCGTAGGCCGTCTCGTCGTCGTACGAGTACAAATGTGTTGAATTGAAAAGAATTTGACATAAAGCACTCATTTCAAATTCTAGTCCCACATCGAGCGCGCTGCATCCCGGAGTCCATCCTGGATGCGACGGCCGCGTACATACGCACCGAGTAGAACTTGATGCTCTCCCCGCGCCGCAGCTCCTTGGCCAGGAGCTCAACGAGGACCGAGTTGCGGCTGGAGGCCGACTTGAACGAGCCCAGCACTTCGATGTCGGACGTGCGCGCGCTCCTGTCGGCGCACAGGTTCCGCGGACGGGCTCGGTGGCGCGGGAGCGGGGGCGGGAGCGCCTCGGTTCCGGGCTCCTCGATGAAGGCGATCCACGGGGCCGCGCTGGTCGCCCGCGTCCTGTTGAGCCTGCGCAGCGGGGGGGTGGCGAAGTATACCCGCAGCGTGAAGCGCGTCCCCTCGGTGGCTTTCAGTACCCCGTCCTGCACGGACAGCTCCGGGCCGGTCTCTTCCGGACGGAAACCGAGCAGGGCGAGCCCCGGCCCGGGCAGGGCGAGGTGGAGGAGGAGGAGGCGGAGTGGAAGACTCGTCATGATGAGGGGGAGACTCCCTCCTCGGTCAACTCTGGTGCCGCGGGGTCCGGTCCATGTGCTTGAGAGGCTTCCGCAACGACGGCGCCCACTGTGACGTCACTGCTTCTAATTATAGAACATGAAGTCACAGCCACTGCGGCGGCGATCACGTGATCACAATCGTTTGGCGATGTACTGTATTTGATTTGTTTTTTTTTCTTCCAGATTTCGTATTTTGGTTTAGTTGTTTTTCAGTACAGCACCCCCGAGCACATTTTTTGTGGAATTGGGATGATTGCTTTTTCGCGATTATTTGACAATCAGAATTACCGTATCTTTATTGTCATTTTTATTGAAATTACCGTACAATTTTTTTGTGTGTGTGTGTTTTAACCATTTCTCATCATCTCACCACTTTATATAAACGTATATATGTCTCATGCATAGGCGACGCGGTCGTCGACCGGTGGGCACGTCCAGTGCGGAAGTGCGGAGTTTGATTCCCGCGGGTTGGCTCGCGGGCTCCCGTGTGGAGTTCGCATGTTTTCCCCGTGCCCGCGTGCGTTTTCTCGGGTTTCATTCCAAAAACATACACGGTAGGTTAATTGATCCCAGCACTGCTTTTTAATAAGGTTCAAATCGAACTGTAGAAGGCATTTCGGACCAGCACAATCAGGAAAGGAAACATAGGGAGAAAGCATGAACGAGATGCTCTTGTCAACTCTCGGCCACGCGTGACACATTGAGGCTACGCAGGCGTTGTGGTGTTTCCCCGGAGATACGGCGGGGCCTTTTTTCCGACGTCGACCATGAGGTGAGTGTAGAGAGGTTCCAACTCTTTGGAGAGCAGCTTGTAAGTCGACGAATTGAAGCCGTCGGAGCTCCAGTCCAGTTTGGTTCTTCTCAGGAGGTCGACGCTAAAAAGTTCAAGGGAGTTGAAGGTCAATGGCCGATCGGTATGTTTCACGACAGCAAGTCTCGCTTGACTTACTTGCGCGGGTTCCGTTCGTTCCCCGCGTCTCTCTCGTGCTTGATCATTTTGTAGCGAGCGATGGCCTCTGGGGGGCGCGCCGCCTGCATGCCGGACAGAATCACTCTGCTCGGGTCGCCAGACAATCGAGAGAAAGAGCAGAACGTCAAGACACGCCCGGTGTCTCGCACAAGCAACCGTGCGGGGATCGAAGCGTGTTTGAAAAAGTTCAACTCCCGTTACAGATGCACAATGATGATGCCGCCCCCCACCCCTCTTCCTACTCAAACGTATTGGATACTTTTGCTTGGCCGAGTTCCAGAAGAACTATTGATGTTGGAAGTTTTGGACGACGATGGACTTTGTCCCCGGCTGCCTCCATGTTTACTTTTTCGGGTGAGTTCATTTGAGCTGGCGGTCAGTGCTTGTATGCGAACTACTACAACCCCTCAATTCCATTGAGATTGTCAAGATAGTTATTAGGACAAAGGGATGGATGTTGTTGTTTCATTTTCATGAATTCATTTAAAAAAAAAAAGGGAAATGCGCAAGTCATCAATTTACAGTGTAAATGTGCCTGACTGAGCTAAATAAAACACATTTTCATTGGCGGTCTCTTGGGCAGGTGTAAAAAGCCAACCTAAAATGAAAAGCATTAAAATCAAACATCAATTTACAAAACAGACAGTAGCACTTCAAAAAAAACAAAAACATCTATTTTATGTACAAGTGATTGAGATGCTCACAAGTCTGTCCCACCCCGTGAGAGTAAATTCGGCCCGCCTTCAGCCACTGGCTTCAGCTGTTTGTTTGTTTTTGTTTTTTGTTCTTTTTTTTGCGAATATTCTCTTGTTGCGAATTTGACTCCATCATTACCCACACCCACCATCGAGGATGTAAATTCAGCATCCTCAATGAGCCTACGGAGACACGCACACTGAAAAACTCCTCGAGACGAGAGACGTCAGCTCGAGGTAGACAAAACCCAAGAAACATTCCGGAGTGGAACGTTCAAAGAGAAGAGAAGGTGAGCGTAGCCAAAGATGAGGATTAGGAGTTGATCACTTCAGAAGTGACAACTTCACGCATTTTATTTTATTTTTTTACCTTTGCCACAAATTATCGTCCTCTTGGCCCCAGCCCCAAAACTGGTTCGAGTAGCCGTTCGTCTTCCTGAACTGGTCTGGGGTCATTGCAACAACACCACCAAAAGCTTGTGGATAGTAAAGCCTGTGGGGGTGAGGGGGGGGGGGGCACAGCCAACAGAAGATGTGAGGGCAATGCAATTCAACGTGCACACACAAACACCAGTTTAGCATTCTCATTTGAAACAAGTACATACTTATTTTTTTCTTTTTAGGTCATTTGTATATTGACACGGGATGTCAAATGTTAGGAGTGGGTAATCTGGACAGTCGGGCGATTTCTGGTGGGCCAGGTTGCCACACGCGCTCCTGTTCCGGCCCATGAAATTGGGAAAATAAAGTACATTTGCGACATTTCGATCAATTACGTACAGCACTGACCTTTATTACCAAGGGTGTCACCAAGTCAATTTTTTTTTTTTTTATTTAAATCTTGCACACAACAAATACTCCATGTCTTCCGTCTTATCCCACGTTATGCACTTGTCTATCGGCGTCTTTTTGTCCATTTCAACTATTTCTGTTCTCATACTTGTTCAAATAAACACTTTTTTGTGATCTTGTCAGCACGTTTGATTGTAATTTTGATTTTGGATGAAATGAAATATGAAAATTGAGGGAGCGAATGGTAAACTATTTGAGATTGACCCACTAATAAGGGTGAGGTTGTGGATAATTCCATTCAAAGGTCAACTAAAATGGGCCGCACTGAGCCGCGAAACTCACGTCTCCAAAGTTGAGCCAAGTGACACTCGTCACCCTCAAGCTACGTTAAAACGCTCGGTGCGCCTCCCATCTCAAGCGCTCCGTCTACCTGTATGCAAACTTGTCAATGGCCACAGACAGGTGTGAGGGCTTGTCTTGGTGGCAGCCGTAGGTATTGCGGTCGTCCTCGGGCAACAGGTCGACGTCGTGGAAGATGATGCAGCTCCACGTCGCGTCTCGGAGAGCTTCCCGCACGCCGGCGTTATAAAGTCTGCCTTTGTTGAAGGTGCCGTTGCCCCACTGAAAGACGGAAGAAATGCCACGTCGGATGTTTTGCGAGGAAGCGTTGCTGCGTGACAACGGACGTTTCATTCACTTTTAAAATGCATTCTGATTTTTATTCGACACGACTCCTTCTCACCTGCTCGACCAGGTAGATTCTGTAGTGCAGCTGTTGCCTCTGCAGGAAAGGATGCAAGTGGTCGAGGAGAGCGCCGAGGTGTGTCAGCCGCTTCCGGTACGGCACCACGATGGCGGTGCGGTGCCGAGCTCGGCAGTCCGGCGGACGGTAGAATCCGCCCGGTGAAACCGACGTGCTCCTTTTTTTTCTGATCGCCTCCAGAGTCAAAAGTGGGAAGGTGAGATTGGCGGGCTGAGGCCCAACTGCGCATGCGTGGAAAGGAAGAGAAAGGAAAATTTTGGGGCCTGTCTACGACGGCTCACATTTGTGTTTTCCTCACCCAATAACGGCGACACGACGGGGCACTCGGCCTGTGGCCCAGAAGGTGCTACAAAGAAGGCGTAGGAGAGTGCGAAGGCTGCTGCCAGCAAGACCAGCGAGAACCGGGACCTCCAAAGGCGCCGGGACCTCCAAAGGTGCCGGCAACACCCCATTAAAAGAAAGATGCTTCACAGGTGGCAAAATCAGAGGACGGAGGCAGCCCGAGGTCAAGTGCACCTAGAGAGTGACCAACACCACTGCCATTCAAGTCGGCTCATAGGCCAAGCACCAGCACACAAATACTTTTTACACGACAGTATATGCTGTTTGTTCATGTATCGAAATGGTGGCCTAGTCGACGACCTGCATGATCCTCATCTCAAGTCACGTCGCTGTTTGACGGTCAAAGTTCATCCAGCACTTATTTAAATTGGCACCCATCAACATTCTCCGGCAACACCCAACTATGAATCACTGTGTTTGTTTTTGCAAATCAGTGCTGACCGATTCAATCAAATAATGAGCACATAAATAAATCTTTGATTTACAAAAAAAAAAAAAATACCCACTTTACTTTGGATAAACAATAATCAATGATTTTTGCCTATTTCCTGACAAGGTAGGCACCAAACTGACTCCTAATCAATTTATGTGCATTTTCCACACTGTCAAATAATTTCATGATTTCGAATCAAGGGCTGAAGAAACAAGTGTTTGCTTTACCGAGTGAAACGCGCAGGCCGGGAGACGAGCGACGTCAGCCTGGTTCTGATGATGATGACGATGACGACGGTGACTTTTGCGAGCCATCCAGGAAGTAAACCATCGGCGTTTCTTAGCCGTTATCGGGAGTCCGAGCACCCTGAACGTTTTAAAGATTATTCTCTCTATCTTTTTATTTACTATATGTCCTTCTTAACAAGCTACAAAAGTTCCTACGGTACTGGGTTGAAAAGCATATTTGAACAAGCAAACTACAGAAGCCCAGCCGTGCCAAAAAAAAAAAAAAAAAAAGTTGTTCCCACTTTTCCCGCCCATGGTTGCCACTATGCCAGCTGCCACCCGTCTCGTATCACAATGACAAACTTTTCTTTTTTTTAAATTGGTCTTGTGTACCCCGAAGCGTTTTGTCATAAATACAGGACACCGGGGCTTGTTGTCCTTTGCTGGTCCAATTCTTGCTCGATGTACACCTTCAGCTGTTCAACAGTCCGGGGTCACAGGTGTCGTATTTTCCAGCCTGTGAGATCGAATATCACGGGCATTCACTGTTGGGTTTTGGGCCTTGCTGCTTACATGCAATGATTTTTCCAGATTCTCTGAACCTTTTAATGATATTGTGGACCGTAGATGATGAAATTTCTTCATTCCTTACCATTGCACATTGAGGAACATTGTCCTTAAACTGTTTGACTAAGAGGTGAACATCGCCTCGTCTTTGCTTGTGTTATATATTCTGTTCTTATTTATCTTTAACACAACGTAGATATGTTTTTGTTGTTATTATTTCAATTTCACCTCTGTATTACACATATGACTTTTAGCTGTCACTCAAGTCGTGCTATGCGTTTTAAAGTTTGTGCAAGTGTTGTGGTGCCACGACACCGCCCAGTTATGCAATTAGTGCCTCATACTAAATTTTTTCCCCGTGTTAAAATCCACTTGATGAATTGATGTTCTGCAAGCAAAAGTTGCGAGGTATAACGTTAACCACAAGATGGCAGCAACATCAAGACAAACAACACGGGGAGCACCCGGTGCAGTGGATTTATTTCATTTTTTAAGGAGCTACGTAAAGTCCACTTGAGAGTTGCATTCCTTTCACCATTTCACGTTCGACTTCAACGATTACTGTATACTGATTAAATTTCAATTATTTTTTCAAATCATTTTCATTCACGTGTGGGCGTTTGGGAAACACGCATGTGGGTGTGGCGTACGCCACTTGGGGGCGCTAATGTGATTACTCGGGCTTCTCATGTGTGTCGTCAGCCCACAGTACCTGTGAAGAAAAAAAAAGTGAACAAGCTCAAGTCAACATTTGAGGCACCGAACAAGCAAAAAAGCACGAACCGTCGTCAATATTTAACCAGACGGCTCAGACATTAACTGACAGGAACTACGTACAGTCCAAATACACTAACGACAAGAAGAACAAGTTACAAGTGGAGTAGTAGCAACTGCGGTACTGCCGGTGTTACAGTATGTTGAGGTCCGGAGCTCGGTTGATCTCGTCCCGCAGGCTGACAACAGCAGCAACACGCCTCGGCCTCGGCCGCAGCTCCGGTTCGGACGGGGCCCGCGCCCTGACCTCGGCCGGCGTTCGGCTCGACCTGAGCGGCGTGTACCCTCCCATCGCGACCCCCTTCACTGAGCGGGAGGACGTCGACTACGACAAGTTGGAGCACAATCTTCGCAAGTACGCTGAGATTCCATTTAAAGGTCAGAACAAGTGGATGAAGCATCATCGCAATAATTGTTCACACGTTCGCTACCAAATAACGTGTACAGCAATTAGATAAATACAAAAACTAAATTCAAAAGTTGAGCGTGCGTCACTTCCGGCAAAAGCAGAGGTTGAAAACGGTCACAATTTGCTCTTAAATTTACTTGAATTAAAAGGTTTCGTTTTATCTTTGGTAAAAAGTAATTGTACGTTTTATTCACTTTTATATTTTTACATTTTTTCATATTATTTTAAAAGCATTTCAGTTTGTCTCTCTTTTTCCCACTATTACCATAATTGTAATGCTCTTCAACGGGGACAGAAGGATGCACGCAGTCGCTGATGTAATCTTTTCGATTTTAATTTACAAAAGGAGCAATAAACACACATTTATTGGAGTTGCTGTTCGCCACAACTCACGGCCTTGCGCTCTACACTCAGACTTACTGCCAGAGCCAATATTCGCCCAACCTGGTCCCCTTTCTATGACGTCACACAAATACAAGAAACAGATATTACAATGTTATGTTGCTTGTACTTTTTTCATGTTTTATCTTAAAAAAAAACCTTTCCTGGTACTTTTTTCATTTTTGAATCATTTTCACGTGCCTCTATTTTTTTAAATAAAAATGTTGGATGAGTTGTCTTTACTTTTTTTGAATACTTTTTCATCGTATGTCTTACATAATTTTACAGAAATACATAATTTCAAATCGTAATTTTTCTTTTTTCGCAACAATTTTTATTTGTGTTTGTATATATATAAAAATCAATTTTTACCTATTTTAATTCCGCAATAATTGTCATTTTTCTTTTCACACCTTTTTGTGTTATTTTTCATCATTTTCAAATCATTTTTATGTAATTAAAAAAAAAACATTTTCCACATTCTTCCTTTTACTGTGTAAGGGCTGATGTTGCGTAACTGCTCATGCAAACACAAATTGGAAAGTCAATTTAAAAAGAGCCACAGATTGAATCTGATCATAATAGCATTCAATAAATGATTTTGAAAAAGGGGCGGGGATAATCTACATAGATAAGGGAATATTTCCAAGTATTTGCATTATAGTATTCCGTAAATGCACTGTACCATTGTTAATCAACAAGGTTCAAGGTTCAAGGTTCAACTTTATTGTCAAATATGCATACATTGACATGTAGCATGGATGAAATTTATTTCTCTCAATCCTCAGCAAACAGTGAAAGACAATGTAGTCTAAAACAGTATAAACATATAGACGATATATACAATAAAAGACGATATATACAATAAAAGCAGCATAAAACAATGGCACTTGAGGCTATTGAGGATAAAAGTGACGTAGTGCATTGTGCAATGTGCAATATGCAGATGACGGATAATGAGGGGAGGGTCATAGTCTGTGACAGGAGGCAGGGGTCGGGCAGAGGCAGAGGGTGGGGAGTTTGGGCAGAGCACGGAGGGAGTTGAGTCTCCTGACCGCCTGGTGGAAGAAACTGTCTTTGAGCCTGCTGGTTCTGGCACGGAGACTTTGCAATCTCCTTCCCGACGGCAGCAGGCTGAAGAGGCTGTGGGATGGGTGTGTGGGGTCGCCTGCGATCCGGATGGCATGGCGGGTCAGCCGGGAGTAGTAAATGTCCACGAGTGGGGGCAGAGAGACACCAATGATCTTCTCAGCTGTTCTCACGGTGCGCTGCAAGGTCTTTTGGCAGGACACAGTGCAAGCACCATACCACACAGTGATACAGCTGGACAGGATGCTCTCAATGGTGCCTGTATAAAATGTCTGCATGATGGGGGGCGGGGCTCTTGCTCTCCTCAGTTTGCGGAGGAAGTACAGGCGCTGGTTGGCTTTTTTGGCCAGTGATGCGGTATTGTGGCTCCAGGACAGGTCTTCAGAGATGTGCACTCCCAGGAACTTGGTGTTGCTCACTCTCTCCACTGTGGCACCGTTAATGGTCAGTGGAGCATGCTGGGAGTGCGTCTTTCTGAAGTACCTGACAATCTCCTTTGTCTTCTCCACATTCAGGTGGAGATTGTTGTCCTTACACCACAAGGCTAGCCTGCTCACCTCACTCCTGTAGCTTGTCTCATCGTCGTTGTTGATGAGACCCACTACAGTCGTGTCATCCGCAAACTTAATAAAGAGGTTGGAACTGGAAGAAGGAGTGCAGTCGTGGGTCAGCAGTGTGAAGAGGAGGGGGCTCAGCACACATCCTTGTGGGGCTCCTGTGTTCGTCATGATGGTGCTGGAGGTGTTGCCGCCGACCCGAACTGCCTGTGGTCTCTCCGTCAGGAAGTCCAACAGCCAGTTGCACAGGGAGGTGTTGAGCCCCAGGTGGTCCAGTTTGTGGATGAGCTGCTGCGGAATGATGGTGTTGAATGCTGAGCTGAAGTCGATGAACAGCATTCTGACATGTGAATTCTTGGTCTCCAGGTGGGTGAGGGCTGAGTGAAGGGCGGTGGAGATGGCGTCTGCAGTTGATCTGTTCTGCCGATATGCAAACTGGTAGGGGTCCAGGGAGGGGGGGAGGGCAGACTTTATGTGCTGCATGACTAACCGCTCGAAGCACTTCATGAGAATGGGGGTGAGTGCGACCGGGCGGTAGTCATTGTAGCTGGAGGGTGACGACTTCTTCGGGACCGGGATGATGGTGGTGGCCTTGAGACAAGTGGGGACAACAGCCTGGCTCAGTGAGGTGTTAAAAATGTCTGTGAAAACATCAGTGAGCTCAGTGTAACCATTCTTTTTCACTGCTATTATTCCCTAACAAGATCCCATTCTATTTGGAATTTCTGGACTACGAATGAAATGTCAGATTTTGGGGACCTGTCAATCACACTGCGGTTGTTTGTCCTTGTGTGTTGTGTTTGCGCAGGTCTGGTGGTGCAGGGTTCCAATGGCGAGTACCCTTACCTGACGGAGGAGGAGCGTGTAGAGGTGGTGAAGAGGGTGCGACGCTCGATGCCAGCCGACAAGCTGCTCATCGCCGGTTCCGGCTGCGAATGTGCGTTAAAAGTGTACGCGTGTGTTTGTCAGCGGGTGGAAGTATTCAAAGTGTTAATATTTCTTTACTGTCCTGAAAAGCCAAGGTGGCAGTCCCGTGAAATGGATTGAAACGGGTCGATTAATCTGCTTCATTTCACAAAAGATATATTAATTAGAAGACCATGTTTAGTGGGTGCATATTCAACACATTCTTGCAACGGACATTTTTGCCTTGACTTCCCCTTGAGAACTTGAATTGAGGCCCAAAACCTTGTAATTGCCTGTAAATGCCACAAGATGGCGCCCAAGCATTTTTTTCCTCTATTAGACAAAGCTATGGCCTGTCTAAATGAAGCTCCTCCCCTTTCTTTGGTCTCAAGATGCCACAACATAGCATCACTTTGCGTAAGTGACAGTAAAAATGATTGTCGACTTCAAATGTGTTGTGATGTGATTGTCGTTAAGCCACAAGAGCTACATTGGAGCTCACGGCTAAGATGGCGGCGGCCGGCGCCGACGCTGTCCTGGTGGTGACGCCGTGCTTCTACAAAGGCAAGATGGACTCTCACGCCCTGGTCCAGCACTTCACTAAGGTCAAACACGGAAACCACAAAACGCATCCTGTGCTCCCTTTATTTTTCCAATAATGCCACTTAGCTGTTTTTCCAGTAATGAGTCATCACGGGGACACTTTTTTTCCCTTTTTTTTTCTTTGGAGTTAGTGCACTTCAAAACAAAGTGTGAAAGGACTCAACTCAATTTTGAGAGCACTAAAGAAATTGACAAAGTGCTGTACAGCGATAAAAAATAAGTCATACAACAACAACAAACAATCAAACAATAAATTAATAACAAAGACAATAGAAAACACAAAAACAGTCAAACTAAAAGTCGAGTCAGAGAATCAAAATGACTTTTAAGACGGCTTTGAAAGATGGGCAGCGAGGGGTCGCGGGGGGCTTGCCGAACGTTCAGTGGGAGGTCGTGCTCTCTGTATGAATTTCCTATTATACTCTCAATTTAATCAATCATTTAATTATTAAAACTGTTAAATATACCATATGGGTGAGATTCGGACACCATGTTCTTTCTACTTGTAACAAATTCGTATTTCATCATATATTGTTCAATATCTTCAATGCATCTATAAAATTGTGTATCTGACTTACTTGGGTATTCTGCCATTATGATGGTATTCGAAAATAAAACTGTAAATGGATTTGCAATGTTGAATTATGCGAACTTCACAATGAGAGCAGAAAGGGAGAAATGAATGTGACGAATGTCGCTGTCTTGTGTCACCACGCAGGTGGCAGACGGCAGCGAGGTTCCGCTGATCCTGTACAGCGTCCCGGCGAACACGGGCCTGGAGCTGCCGCTGGACGCCGTCGTGCGTCTGTCCCAACATCCGAACATCGTCGGGCTCAAGGACAGCGGCGGAGACGTGAGGAGGCACCCTCTTTTACACAGTCTCTGCGAGTATTTGTGAGGGTGAAGGAGGGAGCATGAGGCTGGGAGAGAGAAGGCTAGTTTTCCTCAAGCTTTTGCGAAAAATGTCGTTGGGTCAAGGCGAGAGGAAAGAGCCTTTCCTCTCCGAACGTCTCAAAGGACTCCGCTCTCTCGTCGTCGGTGGCCTGTTGCTCTGAGTGTTCGGAAGTAAAAACTTGAAAATAGCAAAAACGAGACAGTGAAAAGAGTGGCGAGCGAGCACCGTGCACTCGGCAGGCAGGCAGGTCAGCCGACGCGTCGCGTCGCATTTGAGACTGCGGTTGTTGTGGTGGGGGGGCGAAAAAAAATCCACATCCGCGCTTGGCTGTGTGGGAAGCGTCTGACTGGATTTGCGATTTGGGAGGAAGACGGCGGCGCTCGACCCCGCGCCCCCATGCCCACGCCGCCGCCGCAACCGTCTCGCTCGTAGGCGGGAATTGGCGGAGCAGAAGGTGAGAGGTCGCCAGACGGGTTGCCGGAAGAATTTTTCCCACTGTCCAAAAGTACGATGACAAATCTCACAACTCAACTAACTTTTTGCCTCAAGTCTGTTGAGAGGCTAGCTTCTTATATTTGTCACTTCGCAGGTCACTTGGTTAGCTTGTCAGTTAGCCAGGCAGTCAATTGGTTAGTCAATCGGGTAGTTAGCAGGTTTTCAGTACATCAGTCAGTCTGTAAGTGAGTCGGTCACCCACTTGGTTAATTTGGTGGTCAGTTATTCAGTGAGTTGTTTAGCCACTCAGGTAGTTGATCAGTTAGTTAGTTATTTATTCAGACAGTTGGTAAGCTAGTCGACCGGTCGGTTGCCCCGTCAGTTAGTTGGTTACTTTACTTGGGAGTTAACAGTTGATTGGTCAATCAGTTGGTTTTTTTGCCATTCAGTCACAGTTGAGTTTAGTGAAGTCAGTTGGTCAGTCTGTTAGTTGGTTCTTCAGGCAGTCCGTCAGTTAGCAATTAGCTATTCACCAAGTCATGGCTGCTCGTCATTTAGCCAGTCAATTACTTGCTGAGTGAATTTCGCAGTCAGACAGTTAGGTATTGAGATGGTTGGTTAATCAGTTTGTTGGTGAATTGATGAATCAGTCAATCAGTGAACTACTGTAGTCTTTTATTCAGTCAGCCAGCCAGTCTGAGTTAGTTAGACAGAGACTTCGTGTTAGAAATGAGATTGCAGGCGTTTCTCTCCTGTGCATCCCTCGTAGGTGCGCAGAGTGAGTGCGCTTTGAACTGCGTATTCACGTCCTTAAAAAAAAAAAAAAAATCACCTTTAAGGAGCTGACAGAGCTGACGCCCGACTGACAATCGCAACCTAAAAATACACACAGAGGAGGCGGAGCTTATTCCCTGCGGAGTCCTTTGATTGCCTCAGTTCTATTGGGCTAAAGACAATTAAAAGAAATACAGGCTGCTTATTAATGATTCATGAGCTATCTTTGACGTTGATTCCCACCGCTGGGGAATGTGGTCATGTGATCCCAGACAGCCAATGGAAGACATTTGTTAAGACATTTATTTGACCTGTGGCACCCTCTGCTGACCAAATTAGGGACCTCAAAGAAACACTCGTGACACACTAAAAGACCAGTGGTTCTTTACCTGGGTCCGATCGAACCTCAGGGGTTCGACGGAGCCTCTGCCATGGAGGGTAAGACACACGCGGGTCAACATGTCAATTAGCTATGACACCCCTTGGCCTTCGCTGGCTGCAGATGGTCACATGACATTGCTTGCTGGTGGGAAATTTTGTTTGCTTCGGAGTCAACGTGTGACTGTCATGATAGTACGTCATACAATTAAAAAAAAAAGTATACTTATCTCTTGAAATTGTATTTACTTTTTTCTGTTTTTAATAAATGCGTTTTTTTAATATCTTGACTTTGTAAAAATATTTATTTTTCACTCATGAAGTGTTCGGTGAATTTGCATATTAACTGGTTGGGTTTGGTACCTCTAAAAAGGTGTAGAACCACTGCTCCAGACCAAGGCGTGATTTGAGGAATGAACCTTCATGTTTTAGGGTTACAGTCCACTTGCATTGGCACCTGTTTCGGCCATTTTGTTGCCTCAAGCTGTGTTTCGTGCGCAGATCACCACGATGGGCCTGATAGTCCACAAAACCAAAGACCAGGACTTCCAGGTTCTGGCGGGCTCGGCCGGCTTCCTTATGGCCGCCTACTGTGTCGGTAAGTCGTAAAATGCTTACGTAGCGGCCAGCAGCGCCGACTGTACCTGGCTAGTCTTGGAAATGCCCGTCAATAGTGACCATCCCTCCAGTTAGCCTTTTGAGCTAACGAGCTGAGTGAATCCCACGTTTTACGAATACAGTATAAGTCACTTGCATATCATTTGATTAAAACGGCAAGAGAGTTGTTTCTTTTTTTCTCCCCAATCTACGTTTGAAGTCCTATTTTTCAAAATTATTAATTAGAAATTTTAAGTCACAATAGTCAGATTTCTTCAGATTGTGTGGGGAAAAAATGTTGATTCAGTAAGATGCAAGCGCAGGAAAAAGAAAAATGCCCAAAGTTTGAGGTGTTGGTTTGCATTTCAGGTGCGGTGGGCGGAGTCTGCGCGCTGGCGAACATTCTGGGCAAGCCGCTGTGTGACTTGGCGCGTTTGTGTACGTCAGGTCGCTGGGAACAAGCCCGAGAGCTGCAGCAGCGGCTTATCGAACCCAACGCTGCCGTAAGGACGCACTCCATACTAACATGTCACCAAAAAAAAAAAAAAAATACATTCATTGATTGACACGTGTGTTGCTGGGCAGAAATGGGAGAGTCGAGTCAAACGACGTGACTCGCCTCGGCAATTTTAGGACTTGCAACTTTGGCTAAACCTTATGAAAAGACTTGACTGTGACTTGCTATTCATGACTTATCCTTGAGGTGCGCAAGCTAACGAAATACATGGCGATCCCTTCTGACTCACTCGCACATGTGCTGCCAGGTGACCCGCAAGCTGGGCGTGCCCGCCCTCAAACAGGCCATGGACTGGTTCGGCTTCCATGGCGGCGTCTGTCGCTCGCCTCTTCGGCCACTCGACCAGGAACAGACGCAGCAACTCCGACGAGACTTCGCCTCCAATGGATGGCTCTGAAAGTATGTGCGTGTGTTTTATTAAATCCTATATGCACATTGGTAATTATACACAACTCACCCAAAAAGAACCCCCCCCCCCCAAAAAAAAAAGGTTTAGCAATGGCACAAGGGAAGTGAATGCCTTTTGGGTTCAATGAATAACCCCAAAAGTTCAGTGAAATCGACACGCGTGGTCAACGAGTAACCCAAAATTGGAGAATGAAGTTAAAAAAAAAAATTGTTAACAGAATTGATTTTCATCATGAACAAAAATTGAATAAAACATCAAATTAATCTCGATCGATCAATGGCTCATTACATGTCATCTTATACAAAAAAAATGTTGTCAGTCGCACATTTAAAAAAAGGTCTAAAAAGCGATCATGTCAAAGTGTTTTTTTTTTGGGGGGGGGCAGAAATTTAACAAGACTTTGAAAAGAGGCACACTGTCCAGTGTACCATGTGACTGCGCTCAGCCAATCGGTGGAGAAGAATGGCAACAACATTAAAACATGGCGTCGTGTCAATTTTTGTGTAGTTACGTTTTAAAGTGGATTTTTTTTTTAAGTTAATTTATTTTATTTTCCATTGATAACAGAAAATGAAATAATTTTGGGAGTATTGTATTAAATTTACGGAAGAGTGGCATCATCTCGTGTTTAAAAAAACAAAAACAAATGGACTACCACCGTCAAGGTTCCGTCCGCGCTCACTATCTTGAAAAGTGAACTTACTAGATTAAAAAAAAGCAAATAAATACCGCTCACGATGACCATTTTTGAACGACATATTTGATCATGTTAATATAGTGACGCCTGTGATTACTTTTTAAATATTAAACATGCTTTATGACAGGTTGAGGGAATTTCTTCAGCGTCACATAAATGACTTGGAAAAATTATTTGGTTTACTGTGTCAAAAAAAAAAAGATGGAGACCATTAAAAAAATATTACACACACACGCACACACTTACATATAAAAAATGCGTTATCAGAGGCTTGAGGCGCCTCAAAGCTGGAAGATGAGAGTATCAAAGTGAGGCTTCTTCCAAATGTTGGATATGCAAATGATTCTCCTGGTGCTAGCCTATATATAATTTTTTTTTTTTTTCCGCCCACCCCTTCAATGTAGGCTCACATTGACAAGCACAAACTCTCCAATGTCCCGCCGTGCACGGTGGGACGCAGACCAATTAGACACACACAAAACCACACGCAGTCCCTTGGCAGCCCCATGGGGGAAGCGACGCCGTTTTAAGTGCAAATTGAACATGTGACTCGGTATTCCTATAAAGTCATGGATACATAAATAGACATATACAGTTTTATATATATTATATATATA